ATATATATGGAGCCTGTAAATGTCAAGGCTTAATTTATTTAAAAAATATTTATAGTTCTTCTTCTCGTAATAAACCAGGTGGATTTATAAATAAAATATTTAAAAAATACTAAATGTATTGCATGACTTTGTATTTATAAATTATTTTCCTAAAATAGCAAGAGAAAATGTCAAACATTACTAACTAGAATTAAATAATCTAATGTAAAATTCAATATCTCATTAAATAAGTAGAATACAAATGGTAACGAAAAAGTAAAAATAGAATAGTCAAGGAATTCAATTATTTAAATCAGATATTTCCATCTGTACATTATTGACGTTGGAAAGAAAAAGTAATGTCTTATTTTTTTTTATTCTTTATTTTTTCCTCCCTTTTAGTCTTCTTTTATCTTTTAATCTTATTTCTGAGATAAAAATTATATGTACAATATAAACTATTCCCTTCCCTCTTTTACCCGCATGAAACTCAATCAATTTTTAGAAAGACTAAAAGAGTTTGCGCACACATTACCTGAGCAGTTCTTCATCGTTCAGCACACCGTCCGCATTTGCATCAAATAGCTCAAAGATCTCTCGTACCCTCCATTCATCCTGCTCGACTTCATCTACATCAAACAGTCGGACGCAGAGCGTTCGGAATTTCTCGTAGTTAAACGTTTCTTTAGCATCAATGTCAAATCTCGACAACATTGCTATCAAAAACGACCAAAGATCGTCATTCATCTTCGTGTGTATATGCACTATGTCGTCTTGCGTGCACGGTTACGTTATTCAAGATCGCACGACTGCCGATGTCTAGATTGTTATTCATTCCACAGCATATTCCCACTCAGGGATTGTTCCCACTCTAGATCCAATCTGATTGGCCAATCAGAAAATAATATACACTAATGTGTATTTGTGTAACATTATACATGGACCGCTATTGTCGTATAGTTGACAGAGTCAAGTTTTGGAACGCACCCCTGGTAGTCAGGTCACAATTCAAATAGAGACAGGTATAAATACATCGATCAATACAGCTGTCGTTATGTCGCCAACGCGTAGACTACGAAAAGAAAAGCATTTTTTCCAATATTTTTAGATTCTTATTTAGGACTTTTTTTTAGGACTCTGATATAGGATGCGATCCACACTTCACGCTATAAATGCTTTGTATAAATGTTTTTATAATATTAAATTTTAATCAGTTTAATATGTATTGATTTTATATCGCACTCTAATAGTTTAATGACAAAATAGATTTTTCTAAATCAGCGAAATTTGTCTATATTTTTAAAATAAACAAATAATATTTTAAATAAAATTATATGATGATTTTTAAAGTATAATCTATAGTATTATTATAACACTAATAATTTTGAATTTAAAATTTATTATTTTGCAAATTTTAATTGCGCTTATCTGCGCAGATCTATATATACCATCTTCTCAAAGTATATAGGATTAAATCGATACAATCGATATTTATAATATCGAACTTTTAAATTAAACTATCAATATAAAACATCAATAAAAGTGATTTTGCTGAGTTATAATTTATAATATTATATATATAACTAACACAAATGCGTATATGAAGAATTTGATATTTTTAAGTTAGAGTATTGTTTTTTAAAACTGTTTAATATTATTATAACAGTTTAATATTATTATAACTTAGGCTCTTCTCTTAAATAATTCATATATAACAGTAACAGAAAAATAATTATTCTTCAACGCTATGGTATAGATAAAAAATGTTTCCTTCAATATAATTAACTGCATTTTTTTTCTATTTAAAAATTATCTTTTAGATACGTCTAGATTGTTGAACTGAACCTTGAGAACTGAATTTCCAGCCGAGTTTTTTTCAAAAAAGCTAAACTTTCTCAGAGGTTCAATTCAATAATGTGAACGCATACTCAGCTCACGATGAAATTAAACTCAAGATTCCGCTCGACAATTTGGGCACACCTTTATATATAATGACTGCCCTACCTTCATCCGGTTACGACAATGTACAATATATGCACATACGTACGACCAGTGATGGGTAAAATACTTTTAAAATGTACACTAAAAACATACCTAAATACAGATACAAATACACACACACACACACACACACACACACACACACACACACACACACACACACACACACACACACAGAAACAGATATTTCAAAAGTAGCTTCAGATACATATCATATACTTTTAAATTATATTTTATATTACATTTTATTATAATAATAATAATATTAAAAAACATACTAAATAAGTTATTTATTGATCACTTTTGGTTTTATTGTTTTGAAGACTACTAAATATATAATATAATAAAAACAAAGTAACTATATAAAAATTCTCGTATACATCACGTATGTTGTTTTTTGCAAACAAAAACTGGAATTTAGGCACTAATAATACTTAATCTTTACATTATTACTCCAATTATAATACGATAACACGATACGAAAACTCGGCAAACAAAAATAAATATATATGTGTGTGTGTGATTCTAAATTTAAATACCAAAGATATTTAATTTATAGCAAAATATGTCTTATTAAGAAATTAGTATGACTTTACGTTTCATAATAATTTATAAATTTTAAACGTTCTGTCTCTTTTTTTCTGTTATTTGAATCATACGTGCCGATTACTAATTCAATCTTGAGATATAATTTGATGCCAATGCTAAATATAATATCGTATATATTAAATTTATATATATATATATGCTCCATAGAACATACATATGTATTACAGATTTAAATTTATATGTTAAATAACATATAAATAACATATAAATGATTTATTTATTATTAGCATAATAAATTATTTATTTCAATTGCTTTTTTTATAATTGCATCATCTTTACTATTATGGTTAGTTATCATTATTAATTATTGTAAATCCTAATAATTTAATAATTTTTAGAAACTTATAAATTATTTATAAGTGTATCTTTTTTCGTGTTTTAGATATCTATATATATTTGTACATAGTATGTCGCATATAAGATATAACTGTAACGCATTTGCATGACTGAATGAATATTGTTATGCAAGATAAACAAGTATGTTATATGCAACAAAAAAGTACATACTAAGTGGCATGTACCAATACAGATAATACAGATGATTATTAGAGTTTATTAATCATGTTTTCATGCATCAGTAAATTAATCGTCGGATTATCGATATAACCAATGTATTACTCTATGTAATACAAGTTCAACATTTAAGTCATAAAATTGATCGGAAAAAAAATTGACACAAAAAATTGATACAAAATGTAAGCATTGAATAAATAATTATTTATAGACAGATAATTTAAAATAAGAAATTTGCTCATACCATAAAATTTTGAGTTACAAAAGTCTATTAATTTTACATTAACTTGTTACAATAAATGGAAGGTACAAGAAAATAAATTATATATATTGTTTTGCGTGAGATATGTACTAAAACATATATTATATTCTTGAACAAAAAAATGAAGAATTAAAAAAAAAAGTAATTGCTCTAAAGCAACACAAAAGCGAATTGTCAACAGAATTTATAGAATTGGAGTCTCTTATATACACTTATAAGAATAGAATGGCAGTGATTATATATATATATATATTTGTTCGTAGAAGCAAAACTGTTCATAAAAGTGCTAAAGTGTTTTGATAAATATTCATATCATATTTCTTCTAAGCTTCTAAACTTTCTTTATCAAATATTTAGTATCTAAAAAATAATATTTGGTTTACTGCAACGAAAATTAACTTCAATGAATAATTAAGATATGTAAAATATACACATACATACTTTACACACCATAAATATTTTAAATACGAAAAAATAATTTAATTTGCTATATAAAAAGATCTCAAAAAATAGAGAAAATATGAAATACATAAATAAATTTCTTATCTACGATTAGTTAGATTTACGCAATGAATGATCAAATAACTTAAGTAATCAATTATATATATATAAGCTTGTTTTATATACTACCTATATCAAAATCTTATGTATTAAAATTACGTGTAACATTAATAGCCATTGTTTAATAAAGCGCGTGGTAACGATTAAAATATCATTTGAGCTATCTGGAAGCTTGTTCTTCCAGGTTTGTCCTTGGATTATACCTTTTGCTATTTCGATACATTTATATTACGACAAAATTTGTCCCTCTCTTCGGTAATATCAATAGCGATTTTATTGATAACAGGATGTTTAATTTTGCCATTAATCGCGACAAAGAATTCGTTCAATTCTCCCGGAATGTTGTCCCTTTTTTCGTATTCATATGCTTGCATCAGCAAGTCTAGTCTATCTAAGTCTTTAACATACTGCGCTTCAGGAGACTCCTGCTTTTCATATTCCTAAATATTTTTTAAAACAAATAAAATATTAATAAATATTAATAAACGTTAATATTGAAAAATCAGAATTACATGAAAATATTCTTACACGAAATATTTGTAATATCTCAGGTCCCTTATCACCTAACAGCTTGCAAATATCTTCCATAGCTTCGTCTTCCATTCTATGTTTTTCATCTGGTGGTATGCCACAATAAGGTGTTATGTCTCCCACAATACATTCAGCTAAGTCATGAATTAATGTCATCTGCATTATTCTGCAAATCGAAAAATATGTATAGATACATAAATTATCAATATCAATAATATATATCATATAAATAAATTATTCAATTTTATATAAAAACAATAAAATTTCAAGTTACAAAATACTATAATAATAAAGTCTCACTTGATTTTGTCTAATTTTTCTTTTCCGTCCACTAGGAACGATAACATCGCCATACGGTACATGTGCCCAGCAATTGTTTCAGGATCAGATATATTCCGTTTTACCCATCCCATCCTTTTCATATGCTGGAAAATATTATGATCAAAAAACATACTTAAAATTCTTAAATTTATGTTATACATAGATTTATTATTTTTAATTTCAAAGAAATTTTTTAACATAAAAAATAAAATAGAGAAAAGCATATTGAGATTAGAAAATACACAAAAATACACACAAAATACACATTATATAATATAATGTTATCATAATTCTTTTGTTTGCGATAAAAATAATATAGAAGATAATACAGATATTTCTTTTTCAATATTATTTTTTCTTAATTTTTATGCATTCTTTTATGACTTTATTATTTTTTAAAAATTATTCTTTAAAAATAATATAATTATAATAAGATTTTTAAAAAATTTTTTTATCTTACTTTTTTTTATCGTAAATATGCTATTTTGAAATTCAAAAATTGAAATAGAACCTCATATTTAGAGAAATAAAATATAAAAAACCATAAATTATCAAACAAAGACATGCAGAATTCAAGATGTTGATTCAGCAACATATCTATCTAATCTAACAATTCTGTCCATTTGATTGCATGATATTTATCAAGATAGAATTTTAAGCAAAGGAAATTGTATCATAGTTGATTCATATTATCAAAACACTCATGAATCAGCACAATATCAAGTATATAAATAAAGAAATTAAAAATATAATATCCTATTAATGCTAATACTAATAATGTGCTAATACTAATTCTCAATTAAGCTTATATGCTCAGAAAAATGTTTGATTTAAAAGACTTCCAATGACTTCTACATACATTTTCACTATTAAAATAAAAGATATAAAAATATTTTTGATACTAATTTCCAACATACAAAGAACAAAATCTATTATACAAAACAATGAGTATAAATTGCTTATTATCCTTAGTTTATTCAAAGGTCAAATATATATAATTTCATATATCTGTAAGGTCAAAAACATTAGAAATTTTTATCTTACATTAAATATCAACATGTTTCTTTATTTCTCTTTCTTTTTATTTAGTTATTTCTATATCCCTGTATTAAGATTGACTGTTAACATATCAAAATAAAAATATGAAGTAATATTTCAAACATAATCAATTCCTAACAATCATAATTGTCAGAAAAAAAGTTACTTTTCTTATTGCAATTTCGGCCAATATTCATAGTCGATTCTTATATTTGAGATTAAGCCAATAAGAGAGCTGTATTAACATCTTCATACATTACTTAAGACAATCTTAAAATAAGAACAGACTATTAAATATTCTAGACAGCTGTATTATTAGTATCTTAACATGTTACTCAAGATCGTTTTAAAATTAAAATGGACTATGAATACCGCTCTTCAAATCTTCATTTAGAACACTTTTAATCATGATTCCTTAGATTAGTGTTGACATACAATTATTAAAAAAAAAGTGATCTCATTGATCATAGGTCGACACAAACAAATGTTAGCAGCAATAAGAGACATATTACATAAGTATGTCTTTTCTTTTTTTATTTTTTTTTTAATTTAATACCATTCTTTTTTCCTTTTTCCCTCTCTTTTTTACAATATTCTATTTCAAAAAAAAATTTTAGAAATAACTGTTCTTATCTATGCTATTTTGCATAGTATTCTTTTGTCTAGTGATTCTAGGTCATTTAGGAAACATGTAAATGTATGTCATGATTTTTTGACATCATCTTGAAGCTTACCTTCAGCCGACCGACCAGCTCCATAAACTCTTGTAGTCTCTTTGTATCTTGCATCGCGATCGGTTGAAATTCTCGTAATTATTCTGTCAATCGTATTGAATTACTTTTGGTTGCACCTTGGTTGCCACCACAACTACGCTACTCTCACGGAGCGAATGTTCCCGAACTGACAAAAAAATTAAGCGGGAACCGAGAAGTGAACTGTGAACAGTGATCAGGACAGCCAACCACGATATAGTTATTTCTCTAGTTCCCCTCAATATCAACAGAAAGATACCTGAGAGTGAATGTATCTAAGGCTATGTTCAGATTTCCACCCGACTGCCATTCAGATATCACTCTATCTTTGTTATTTATTAATGTTAAACAAGGATGACATGATACTTGGAGAACACTCGGGTGGAAAGCTGAACATAGCCGTAGATACACTCGCTTTCAACATGATTAAGGGAGTGTTTATATTGGCCGTAACCATATGCCGGCAATCTGTAAAAATTGACCAATTACTTTCAAATATTCCCATTTTACTGCCGAATGAGAAAGGAATACTTGACTGTGATTAGTCAATTCTTACAGATTACGGCATACGGCATACGGTTACGGCCAATATAAATGCTCTCTTAGAGTCCTAGATTTGTAAGAAAAGCGCGACTGTGTTAAGTGTTCTGATTGGTCATTGCATTCACGCAATTAGCAGCCAATGATGAATTTATTTCTGTGCACTAAAAATGGCTGCTTAATGAATAATTGATGACTTTAAGGCCCTGCGCACAATGGAAAAAATAAGGAATTAGAAATAAAGAATAAACGATTTCAACCTATCAGAAACCGCGTATCCCGATTTCTGATAGGTTAGAATCGTTTATTCGTTATTTTTAATTTCTTATTTCTTCTATTGTGCGCGAAAAGAAACCTGAGAGATGACATGAGGGCCTTTTTTCTGTAACCGCAAAATGCCGCCGCACCTGTCCTCTGAAGAAATGTATGTAAACTACATAACAATATCCATTTTTTACGATGCTGCTGATGGACATAAATTGCTGAAATCACTGAAATAATTAAAATCTATCAAATTAATAGAAATTCAGGTTTCTCTCTGCCTGTATTCATAGTCAGATCTTATATTTAAGATCGTCTTAAGTACAATCTTAATTCACAATCTTATTGGTTATGAACCAATCAGACAGTCCTATTAGCATCTTAGGATATTACTTAAAATTATCTTAAAATAGAATCAATTAAATTGAAATGAATTCCGACCTTAATGCATATTGCACGCTAGATGAGAGATGAGCAACGAGCGATATCCAATAAGAACTCTGCTTTGTATCGTCACGTACAACAAAGCAAAGCTTTCATGATTCAAAGCTGATATGTAATATAAGAAATTTGTTAATACCTTTAAAATATCTAATTTTAATTATATTATTGAAATTAAAAAGAAAACACAAATATAGGTATTCAAATATAGCACGGGAATTTCTGAAACATGGCGGACCAATCAATGCATATTGTAATTTACAATTTGAATAAAGTAGGAATTCTAATTGTAAGCAAACTACATTTAATTTAAAGTTGTAAAGAAAATCTAAATGAATAAAAACTTATACAAGAGGCCCTCCTCCACCCCCGTTGATTTTATCAACGCTCCTCTTTTCTTTGTAAGTATACTTACTCGTAAAAAACGAGCTACTAATAAATTCAGTAATTCGTTTTTACAAGTAAGTATATTTTAAATTTATTTTTTATTTTTATGTCGAATTATTTTATTGTATTTTGCTAATTATATTGCATTATGATTAGCGAAATACAATAAAATAATTAGCAAACATATAGCATAACTTTTTTAATGTTACCTTTTATTGTAATTCTTTATACATTCAATAATATAATAATAATTGTTTACAATATAATGTACAATTATAAATGCTGTTCGAAATATAATAAAAATTATATTATAGAAGCATATAATTAACAAAATTTAGTAATACGGGATTATACGAAAACATCGAAAATACATACGATAACATAAATTTTTCTAAATATTAATGTTTAATGAAATATTGATAAACATGGAATGAAATAGATAGTAAGAATTAAATCGTATTTACTATTAATTATTAATTTGCGATTATAAAACTTATTAATATCGCGATAAAAAGTCATTAATATATTTACAGCACTTTCATCGAGTTCAAAATAACTATCTCCCAATAATTTGATCACATCTCTCCGCCTCATGATATGCTAGTTAGCATCAGATACAAAGAAAAACAATCTTCATAGTGGAGAGTGAACTTAATATATTCTGATTCTACGTCAAATTCACAAGATCCATTCGCAAAGAAAAGTTAAGCAATCCGTCAAACACCAGGTCTTGTTACAGAAGGATGTAAATCCTAAATCTTTCAGATCACTTACGATAGTAATAATTTTGGTACAATGTCAATTACAATTAACATTTTTAATATAATATTAAATATAATATTGCATCTTAAATATAATATTAAAATTCACGAGAAAATATGTTCTGCTACACATTACTAAAAATTATCGCTTATTAAAAATAAATGGATAGAATGATTTCCTTATGGAATAGAGTGATTACGAAAAAATATATGTAATAATAATAAAATACATGCGTTATTGTAATTTTTTATATGTATGGGTACAGAAGCTTCTCGGGTACCAACTGTTCGAGATAAGCCGAACCCGATAATAACGGGATTTTAAAAAACATTTATATTGATAAATTTATTATATAAAATTTAACAATTCCTTATTTTTCTGTATGTTTCATAAATTTTAATTATTAATATCCCGCTAATATGAGGGTACCCATTCGACTTATCTCGAATTTTTTTGTACTCACACATTTTTAATTAAATTTGTGTAGTCACAATACATTGTTAAAAGAATATAAAGTATTTTGGTAAAAATAATCTAAATCAAAATTTCAAAGATCAAAATTTGTTAAATATAAATCTCAAAATATCTACATGTATTTTATTGAAGAAATGTGTGTGTGTGTGTGTGTGTGTGTGTGTGTGTGTGTGTGTATTGTATATAAATTATTAATTAATCCTAATATTCTAGAATAGCGGGATGTCCAATACCTAAAAATGATTTTTAAAATAACAGTTAGAAAATTAAATATATACATTCGTAATCATATTTTTGTTAAAGCAATCATCAAAAATAAGCAAATTATTTGTATAAAACTTAAATTTATTTACTTCATAATTTTAATTTGTACAAATAATCATTACATATCCATATTAATCATTTAATACTAAATTCTTATTGTCATTAAGACAATCTATTATTAACATTATTACTAGTGGAAGAACATTTAATAAAATTAAGAAAGCGACGAAAATTGTACTCTAAAATATATCACTGAATTAATTTCGCAACTTGAGTTTAAAATATATAGACTTTATAAATATATACTTGTAATTGAATCATTAGTAAAATAATCACTTTTAGGAATTAACAAGAAAACCCGGGATTAATTCTAATCCTGTACAAAAATCTCGAACGGAATATCAAACTAGACTTTGCGAATGGACTTTATGAAAAACGACAAGGAATAACTCTCCATAATGAAAATAATTATACGATTTTCTATCGATACAAACTGCATATTCACTGGCATATATCTGACGCAAAGGACAGTGATGAGGTCTTTGCATATAATAAATCGATCAGAGATCGATATATTACTAAGATATACTTGTAATTCTATAATGTTAAAAATATGAATGTCAAAAAGCAAACAAAAAGTTAACATTTCACCATTGTCTCAGTCAAAGCTCCAATCTTTACTAACTTATTTAATAAATTTGTATACTAAAAAGCAAATAAAAATTAACGATTATTCTAAACAGCAAATTTTTAATTAGAAGTCACTCAAAATTATTAATGACTTTTTGATATTTAAAATAAAATTCAAATTAAAAAAAAAGTTTTAAAATCAAATATTTATCGAACTCGTTAAATCAATCAATAATTTTTGTTATCATATGTTTCGTCGATTTCGTGTAATTTACACCAATAAAGCAACAATAAATTGAATTTACTACAAGATAAATGCTACATGTATTGAACAGATATATTCAATACGGTTATAAACATTCTAATAAATGTTTAATTAATTAGTAATTTTTGCGCGAATTATAAAAGTAAACATAATGGCATTTATCTGAACATAGTTTACATAAATTTTATATTACGTACTATTATATATACATTTATTTATAACAAAATTAATTACAAGATTAACACGTTACACTTTGTATACAGAATTTTATTAGAAATTAAGTTTAACTTCAGGGGAGCTGAAAATTTAATGAAATTCAAAATTATATATAATTTGGTTTATTTTTATATTTGATAATATTATAATAAGATACTGATAATTAAATAAAATTTAAAATTAATTTTTAATTTTATTTAATTTTCAATCCCTCGTTTCCAATTATCAAATATGTACATATGATGTCTATGTATCCCTACTTACATGTCACACAGTTTACTAGTTAGATTTATTATATAATATTTTTTTAGATTTATTATATTATTTATTTTTTATTTTTTAAATAAAATTTAATTACCCGACCGCGAAATTTATTTAAGTGTCATTTTATTTGTAATAATTTAATTTTTTATTTATAATAATTTAATTTAAAATAATTGCGTTTATTCCCCCTTACCTATCCATACTTGTCCTACCTACTCATATTTTCATTTATTCGTCCCTATTCGTGTATTCCATGTCTACCCGTGTTCCTACCTACATTATTTTATAATGTGTAATAACATCGCGAATATAATATGTTAATGGTTGTGTTCAGCAGAGAAAACAGCTTTGCAAATGTTGTCAAAATTCTTCAATACGATTGGTTTTTGCATTTAGTTCCTTATGGATTAAAATGTATAAGTCAATCATATTGAAGAATTTTACAACAGTTGCAAAGCTGCTTTCTCTACTGAACGCAGCTAATGCCTAACCATGTCCTACGTATTGAAATTTAGCGGAATAATCTAATGCGATCATATTAAAAAAATAAATAAATAATAAATAATAATAATTAAAACAGATTTTCCATTTTTAAAATACAAAAAATTAACAAATAAGACTAATGAGAGTCAGTGTGAATTAAAAAGTCTA